CTAGCAGAGGGCTTACTTTCATTCCCCACTTACCCTAAATGATCTGCTCCTTTTCCACCATAAGTTGTGGCACCATTAAAAATCTGCTCATCCCAGCACTGGAAATAGTTTGAAAATGAGAGCAGTGATATTGAGGAAGGTTATGAATTTCAGGAGTGATAGCTGGGAGGGGAGCTAGAGAGTAAATGAAATGATTCTTCAAAATTATGTAAAATTTTTATGCTATGTGAAAATGTTCTAAAAGATTTTTAAAAACGCAAATGTTTTCCAACATCTTCTACAATGCCAGCATAACCCTAACATCAAATCTGACAGTCATAGTAAATGCAAAGGGGAAGGGATAACATATAAAAGTTATGAGCTTAACTATTTTTAAGTGAACAGTTCGGTAGTGTGAAGTGCATTCACGTTGTGCAAACAGTTTCCGGAACTCTTTTCAATTTGCAGTGTTGGAACTCTGGAACTCTGTACCCATGGAACAACTCCCCACTCTGCCTTCCCTCTGCCCCTGACAACCACCATTCTACTTCCTGTCTCTGTGAATTTGAATATACTGGGTACCTCATGTAATTGGAATCGCATAGCATTTGTCTTTTTGTACCTGGCTTATTTCACTTAGTATAATGTCTTCAAGGTTCATGCTTATTATAGCATATGTCAGAATTTAAAAAATTTTTTTTATTTTATTATTATTATTTTTAGACAGTCTTGGTCTTGTCACCCAGGCTGGAGTGCAATGGTGTGATCTTGGCTCACTACAACCTCTGCCTTTTGGGTTCAAGCAATTTTCCTGCCTCAGCCTCCCAAGTAGCTGGGATTACAGGTGCCCACTACAACGATTGGCTAATTTTTTTTTTCTTGTATTTTTGGTAGAAATGGGGTTTCACCATGCTGGCCAGGCTGTTCTAACCTCCTGACCTCAGGTAATCATCCCACTTCAGCCTCCCAAAGTGATGGGATTATAGGAATGAGCCACTGTGCCTGGCCCAGAATTGTGTTCCTTTTTAAGGCTGAATAGTATGATATCATATGCCTATACCATATTTTGTTTATCCATTTATCTTTTAATTTATTGCTTCCGCCTTTTGGTTATTGTGAATAATGGTGCTATGAACCATTATTGTGTACAAATATCTCTTCAAGACCCTGCTCAGTTCTTTTGGGTATATACCCAAAGTGGAACTGCCAGATCAAATGGTAATTCTATTTTTAATTTTTTGATGGACAACCATATGTTTTTCATAGCAGCTGAACCATTTTATAATCCCACCAACAGTGCACAAGGGTTTCCGTTTCTCCACATCCTCTCCAACACTTGTTATTTTCTGGGGTTTTTTGTTTGTTTGTTTAATAATAGCCATCCTGGCCAGGCATGGTGGTTCACGCCTGTAATCCCAGCACTTTGGGAGGCTGAGGAGGGGGATCAGGAGTTCAAGACTAGCCTGGCCAACATGGCGAAACCCTATCTCTACTAAAAATAGAAAAATTAGCTGGGAATGGTGGTGCGTGCCTGTAGTCCCAGTTGCTCGGGAGGCTGAGGCAGGAGAATCACTTCAACCCAGAGGTAGAGGCTATAGTGAGCTGACATCACGCCACTACATTCCAGCCTAGGAAACACAGTAAGACTCTGTCTCAAAAAAAAAAAAATAGTAGCCATCCTAATGGGTGTGTGTCTATATAATTTTAACTATGAAAAGATGTTCATTTTGTTTATGTGGAAATTCGAGATATAGTAAAAATAGGCCAGGCATGGTGGTTCATGCCTGTAATCCCAGCGCTTTGGAAGGTTGAGGTGGGTGGATCACCTGAGGTCAGGAGTTCAAGACCAGCCTGGCCAACATGGTGAAACCCCATCTATACTAAAAATACAAAAATTAGCCGAGTGGTAGTGGCATATGCCTGTAATCCCAGCTACTCAGGGGGCTGAGGCAGGAGAATTGCTTGAACTTGGGAGGTGGACATTGCAGTGAGCCAAGATCACGCCACTGCACTCCAGTCTGGATGACAGAGTGAGACTCTGTCTCAAAAAAATAAAATTAAATTAAAAAGTAAAAACAAGTGTTTTAAAACGTTTTTAAATGTTATATTTTAAAATAATAAAAGCAAAATTTGCTATGTAAATATAAAAAGAGACATTATTTTAAAAAATGCAAAAACTTTAATAGAAAATTGAGCAAACAACAAGCAAAGGACGAATGCCAGGGATGAAACAGAAAAAGCTATGAAATACATGAAAGAGCCGGTATTAGGTGATAGGGAGCCAGGGCTGGAGGCCTCTCTAGCTCTCTGATTGCTTCTAAGTTACTCACGAGAGTGAAGCGGTCTCATGCCCCCACTGCAGCAGGGAGGTGTTAAGGGCACTTTTGTTCTACTCTCCAATTGATTGATCTGTTTAATACAAGAAAATCGAGGCCAGACAGCCAGAGGAAATATTTCCTTTGCTAATGACAAAAACAATATATTCGGAATGCTCCAGGGAAGACACGGAAAAGAATCGAGTCCTTAAAAAGCTCTACCAACATGTGTGAGATGGCTAAACTACACATTTTTGTTTCAGAAAATGAATACTTGGGCTCTTTGGGGGAAAAACAAGGATATTAAAGGACTGTTCAGACTGAAGTTACCTGCACACATGTCATTTATCAAGCTGATAACGCAGCACATCACCTGGGGAGTTCTGAAGGTGCAGTAGTGATACATGAAATCTAAAACTGCAGTGGTTTGAAAACATGGCCTCAGAACACTTTGATATACCTCTTATTAAGAGGTGGGCTCTATGTCTCCTCCTGTGAATCTGGATGAGCCTGTGACTCAGCCAAAAATGTATGACAGAAGTGATGACATGTGATTTCCAGTTAGGTCCCACAAAGCCAGGCAGCTTCCCCTAATTTTCTTGGACCACTCTCTGTTCAGAAGTTCCTCACCCTTGGAACCAAGCCACTATGCTGTGAGGAGCCAAGCTGTGGAAAGGCCCTCTACTGGTGCCCCACTGACTATCTCAGCAGAGCCCAGCCTTAAAGTCATCTCAGCCCAAGTACCAGATGTAAATCAAGCAGCCATCAGAGGATTCCAGGTCTCAGTCTTTTAAGACACTCCCAGCCTTTCGAGTCTTCCCAACTGAGGCCCAACATATCAAAAAGTAGAGATGAGCCACATATGCTATGTCCTGTCTGCATTTCTGATCTATGGAATCTCAGAGCATAACAAATGGTGTCTCCCATTTTGTTTCTTATTGAGCTTATTTGGATTTTCTCTCTTCTTTTATGGATTAAACTTGCTAATGGTCTATCAATTTTATTTATCTTTTCAAAGAAACAGCTTTTGGTTTCACTTAACTTTTGTATTGTTTTTGTTTATTCTTTTCAATTTAATTTAGTTCTGCTCTGATCTTGTTTATTTCTTTTCTTCTGCTGGGTTTGGGTTTGGTTTGTTCTTGTTTCTCTAGTTCTTTGAGGTGTGATCTTAGATTGTCTGTTTGTGCTCTTTCAGACTTTTTGATATAGGTATTTAGGGCTATGAACTTTCCTCTTAGCACTGCCATTGCTGTATCCCAATGGTTTTGATAGGTTGTGTCACTATTGTCATTCAGGTTCAAGAATTTTTAAATTTTCATCTTGATTTCATTTTTTGCCCAACGATCAAAGAATTTTTTAATTTCCAGCTTGATTTCATTTTTTACCCAATGATCATTCAGGAGCAGGTTATTTAATTTCCATGTATTTACTTGGTTTTGAAGGTTTCTTTCGGAGTTGATTTCCAATTTTTTGCCACTGTGGTCTGAGAGAGTGCTTGATATAATTTCAGTTTTCTTAAATTTATTGAGGCTTGTTTTGTGGGCTATCATATGGTCTATCTTAAAGAAAGTTCCATGTGCTGTTGAATAGAATGTATGTTCTGCCGTTGCTGGATGGAATGTTCTGTATATATCTGTTAAGTCCATTTGTTCCAGGGTATAGTTTAAATCCATTGTTTCTTTGTTGACTTTCTGTCTTAATGACCTATCTAGTGCTGTCAGTGGAGTATCGAAGTCGCCCACCATTATTATGTTGCTGTTTATCTCATTTCTTGGATCTGTTAGTAATTGTTTTATAAATTTGAGAGCTCCAGTGTTAGATGCATGTATGTTTAGGACTGTGATATTTTCCTGTTGGACAAGGCCTTTTATCATTATATAATGTCCTTCTTTGTTTTTTTTTAACTACTGCTGCTTTAAAGTTTGTTTTGTCTGATAGGAGAACAGCTACCCCTGCTCGCTTTTGCTGTCCATTTGCATGAAATATCTTTTTCCAGGCTATTACCTTAGCTTATGTTAGTCCTTGTGTGTTAGGTCTGTTGAAGGCAGCAGATGGTTGGTTGGTGAATTCTTTCTTTTTTTTTTTAAGTGCTGATATCATTTAATTAGATTGTTTACAAATATAACAGGATGGCTACAAAGAGATCTTACATTAAAAGCAGCTGATGGTTTGGAAAAACTACAGTGGTGAAGAGACCAAGAGGCAGCTCTCAGTGAAACCAACATTGAGACACCATTCATGAGCCTTCTCAGTCTCAGCAGGAAGCCTACAGCACCGACTGCTCCAGCCTCCCACTGCCTGTGTCAACACAGCCCCTCCTCTGCTTACCCACTGACAACACCTAGGCTTACTTTATCTAAAATCAGAGTGTACCAGGTCTCTAGCAGAAAATTAACTAAATATCAGGGACCTGTGAGTCCTAAGAAAAGGGAGAGGAGAAGAGGAGAAAGGG